GTTCAAACCTTCCATCTGCTCCTTGGAAACCCTATATAGGGTCACTACGATTCAGAACTGACTCAACTGTACATAACAATAACAATTCACACAGAAGCCACAGAAATCATTCTAAAACAAGTATCTAACTGTGCCACACTCGTATTTAAAACTCTTTAAAGGCACTCCATTATGCTTACGACAAAACTCACTCCAATAATTCTATCACATACTACTTATTGCAGATCCTGGAAAGCCTAATGGTTTCTTGACTTTTGGCTCTTCTACCAGCAAATAAGGTTTACCTTTGTGGTCACTCTATATGCCATGTAAGCATTCATGCCATCACCTGTAAGAAATGTCAAACATTATTAAAAATCACAATTAGCATTTTAACACTACAATAACACATACAGAGCAAAACAATCAAATCAATAATCATAAAAGAAGGTAAAATACAAAATGCAAATATTTTACTCACCAACTTTCTCAGGATCTGATACACCAATTTCTATATCAAAAATATCTCCATTTGCTTCTTCTTCAATCTAAAAGAAGTATTATTATTTTGGGAAAATTACAAATTTTTCTCCAATTTTATTACAGTCAAAACACTAATAGCTAAAACATCTACCATCTATTGCTATGAGAGTCATTATCACATCACATAATTGAAAAAGTCATTCAGCACTCCATTTCTTAAAAACAATAAACGCTTTCTCATTTTCTGATACATTAAAAGAAAAGAAAAAAAAAAGAGACAAGAAGTAGATTAGTAGATTAGTGGTTTCCAGGGGCTGAAGAAGAGAGGAATAGGAAGCTGCTATATAATAGGTGCAGAGTTTCTTTACGGGATGATGAAAAGTTTTGGAAATAAATAGTGGAGATACGTGTACAACAAGGTGAATATAATTAATGTCACTGAGATGTACAATTTAAAATGGTTAAAACAACAAGCTTTACTATATATATATATATATTTACCCTAGTAAAAGGAGCCCTGATGAAGTAGTTAAGCATGTGGCAGCTAACCTAAAGATTTGACGGTTTCAACTCAGCCACTCTGCAGGAAAAATCTGTAGTCGTCTGCTTCCATAAAGACAGAGCCTTGGAAACCTATGGAGCAGTTCTAGTCAAATCTTATAGACTGAATCGACTGGATAGTATGAGTACCAGAATAAGAGTACATAAAAAACCTTTATATATCAACAGTATTTATTACATGATTGTAATAAAGAAAACCACTAAAAATGTCACTTAACGACAACAGTTTTCAAAACCACTTTCATACATCATCTCACTGGAACATAATAAGAAGTCCAAGAAGCACACACACACATCATTTTAAGATGAGAAATGACAAACTCCTTGACTTAAAAAGAATGACGTGTCCAAAGTCATTGGTTTAAAGAGTGGTATATATAAAAATTAAAGCCAACTCCTTCCGTTTAAAATATCTAAAAAGCTTTCATTAGGAGGGGATACTATGAAGGATAAGTCAGAAGTAACTAAATGGCACTTAAAAACAACAAAAATTGGGAAAGAAACAAATGACTTGTTATATATGAATTAGAGTAAAAACCTTATCACGTACCTCCTCTCTGGATCTATCAAAGATCACAGGAGCAGATATACTCTTTGATTCAATTCTGGGTGCAATAAGTGTAGTAGGAGTTACAGGAGTGACGGCAGGAGAAGGTTCTGAAGAGAGGACAGGTTCCCTTTCTGGACTGTCCAAAGAAACTTCTTCTGTGGCTTCTAGATATAAATTAAACAAGTTACTTAAAGAAACTAGCAGCAAACTCTCAAAATTCTATTTAGCAGTTAATGGATTATAAAACAATATTTTCTATACAACCCCAAAATACATAAGGTTATAAAGTTAATTTGAGGAATCCTTCCTTAGTCTTATAACTTTAAAACCAACAACAATTTTGTTGGCTTTAGGAAGAATTTAATGAGTAAGAATATATAACAACCTTTATACATCAAACAGTATTTATTGCATGATTGTTAACAATCATGTAGCCACGGAGATAATTAGGTCAGCTTAATTATCTTAATGATATGGATACAGCTAGGAAGAAAACAATAATGTGGATAAGTCAACATTCATTTACATTTGGATTTGTTATATATCTTACATTTGTGATAACTGACCTTCTAAATGTTTTATGCATTATGATTATTTATATAGATGGACACAAACTTTTACAGCAGAATGTCATTGAGAATTATCCCAACTAAGATTAAAAATCTGTTATCAATAATCTTGAGTTAGTAATCTAAATCAATTAATGCCAAAAATTACTGAATATTACATTGTATATTGTTGTTGTTAAGTGCCGTCGAGTCGGTTCCGACCCATAGCGACCCTGTACAGGGTTTCCGAGGGTGTAAATCCTTACGGGAGTAGAAAGCCTCATCTTTCTCCTGCGGAGCGGCTGGTAGTTTCAAACTGCTGACCTTAAGGTTCGTAGCCCGATTCGTAACCACTACACTACCAGAGCTCCTTACATTGTATATTAGTTGAATAAAATAAAATGACACAAAGAAAATATATGTTTAGGCTCTAATTTTAAATGCTCTCATTCATTTGAAAACTTAAAATTAAATATATTGAAAATCAAATCAAACCAATATAATGGGTGCCTATAAGCTATGTAACACTGGGCAAAGGGCAACGGAGAAACACAAAATAATGTAAAATATCACAGCTATCCTTAGGGAGTTTATTATCTAGTTGGGAAAAGAAGATAAAAGTATGTGGAATGTCAAGTAATAATAAAAGACTTCAATAATAACCAAGAAAATAATAAAATTAATGATACCAGCTAAGATATTTATTGTAATATGAACTACAGAACAAATTACAAATTCTGTTCAGGTACGAGAAAATACTTTACGATGGCGAGAATAAGGGAGAGTTTACCAAATCGATCTAAAGAGATTTTGATGGGATGGATAGTGGATTTCATAAGAATAAAATGGTAGAAGCCAAAAGCAGAGCCAGGAAAGTGAAAATTATAATTAGTGTTCATACACTGTGGGTTAATGCACCAGACTGCAAAGCCATTTGAACTGCAAGGTCAGCGGTTCAAGCTCACCAACTGCTCCTCGGAAACCCTA